CTTTCTCTACCCAGGCAAACTTATTTTAAACAAAAAAGATGCCACTCTGCATGTTCTCCTGGAGCACTTTCCAGTTCTTAGCATTTTTCAGAACTGTGGAGTATGTACAGTTTTATAGTACTTGTTACGACCTGACACTATTGCTAGCTTGTTTTACACTCCGTTAGAAATACTTTAGTAGAAGTCCATCTGTATATTATCTTCTAGGCTATGGCAACAGTGTAGCGCAACTTGATTTGCTGTGTTCCTTTTTAGTAAAATAGAGTGAGACAGGACCTCCAGTAGCCTTCTAAAATTAATGCTCCCACCTCTTTCTTCCCAGTGACTTCACTGAAACTTCAGCCAAAGTGTAGAGAGCCTTCATGCTCTCTGCAGATCTTGGTGTACTCATGGCAGTATACAAAGTAGTAAGAAAAAAACCAAACACTAAGCCAAGAAGTATCTCCCAGTGGAAATGCATTTTTTAAAAATTTAACAAAGTAACAGCATGAAGAAACACTTTTTAGCTTTTAGCATGTCTCTTGGGCTTTCTGTCTGCTGGCTTCTTTTCATCTGTTCCAGACTCTTGGACAGGCAGCCACTTCAGAGGGTTGCGGCGATACATGGGCCACGGAGGGAGTGTTAGCTTAAAGAAAAGGAATGAAGTCAGAATGTGTAAATCAAGATGCTAGATAAGTGTTTTGTACAGCTTGTTAGGAAAATCTCATTCCCTGACTATTGTACCAACTGGTCAATTTCATACTGTAAAGATATACATATATATATACACACACTCTACATTGTAAACTGCATAGTCATGCTTAAGTAAGCGTGACTAAAGGACCCCCAGCTCATTGCCAGGAGGAGGACAGCACCCACCCTGAAGGAAAAAAAAAAAAAGATACCCCTGGACTACTACCAGGGTAACGCCAGCATCCCAGCCACTCCTAACACCTGTGTGAAACCCACCCATTTTCTGGCATCAGAGAGAAGGGACTGTAGCAAGACCGACTCCAGGAACATTAGGATCAAGAAAGAACTAGATGGATGACGATGCCATAGAATTATAGTTGTTTTTCGAAACAGTAGTGATTGATCAAATTGTGTTGTATCTGAACACTCAAAAGGTGTGCGAACCATGTGTACAACCACACTGGGTGTGCCCCAATTGGAAAAGGACGCCTCACGTAAGGAATTACTCTAGTAATTCTCTACTTTGCGTCCTAGCTGCTCTCCTCAGTTGGCATGGGCCAGCTGCAGAATTCTTGTGACAAGCTACTACTCCACAGAAAGCCTTACTGTCCTTTCTGTTATCAATGCTATCAGCTTGACTTAAAAGTAATATTTAATTGAAATTTTAAAATAATTCAAAAGCAGTATTAAATTGCAGTGTTCTCTAAAATCTTACTGGCATTTGAGAAAGGGCACTTACTGGCTTGTAAAGCACTTTCTACAGATCAAAGAAAGTATAGACATGTAATAACAATCTGAATTACATAGCAAACATTTGTCTGTGCTGACAGCCCCTTCATTTAATGATTATTTCAGGTTAAATAATGCATGTATTTTCTGGTTTGGGGAAAAAAAAAAATCTTACCAAACACGATAAAGCAAATCCAGCCATAACTATGTAGACAGTCCACCCAAACTGTTCAGTGATATATCCGTAGATGAAACCAATTATCTGCCAAAAAAAATAATCAAATCAAACTTTAAACAAACAAAAACATATCCCATGCCATGATTAAGCTGGGGGGCAGGTGGGTGAAGTTAAGTAGAAGAATACAGGTTTTTCAAAAAGCACAGTTCATACATCTTTCTAACCTTGTTTTCAAAATTGTAGGCCAATAATGAAAGTAAACGCTTGAAAGAAGAAAAGTCTTAATCCCTGACAGCCCTCCTGATTTTGTGTAAAACTTTTAATGACCCAGATATGCCAAACAAGCAGAAAAAAATGCTTGTTTGCAAGATCAGAAAACAAAATAAAGTCCTTTACGTTATTACCTGTAGTTCTAGTATACTTACTGCAGAGACAAGAATGATTCCTTGAAAAATCTGTTCTGCTAATTTTTGGCCCTTGTAGTCCTGTGGAAAGAGATATTTTTTTTTTTGTCAATTATGCAAAACACAAACCTACCAGTTAAACTCTTTCAGGTTAGTGCCTAGAGTCAGCCTGACCACTGATTCTCAGCTTTTTTGTTCAACTTTCAAACCAGACTGGAATTATTTTTCTTAGAGTGTCTGGATTTAAAGTGTAAAAGAATCAAGCTCTTAATTCCCTTAACAGCTCCCCTACAATCTCGACCACATCGTCTAAAACTAAAAGCAAGCACTATGTGTTCAGGGCAAGTAACGCAGGTTCAAGATACTATTATAGTTATCTTAATATCACTAGGTAGAAGCCTTAAGACCACAAAAGAGAGCATGTGCTTGAGAGGATATGCCACGTCGCCTGCGTTTGGACGACTTTAGAAAACGTGGCTGTCGATGAGAAGAGCGCAGACAGAAAAGCAGAGGGGGGTTTCCGTTGCAGAGCTGTGCGCTACCTGCACTTTGCAGCAGGTTAAAGCTCCACTTTTTAGACCAAAATACGGAAATTAGCCGGAGCACCACCCCCCAGCCCCAACAGCAGCTCCTCAGCCGCAGGTGCCGACACGGCGCGGAGGTGGGGGAACGCCACCACCCGCAGGGAGCGACAAGGGGACGCGGGCCCGGGCGCGGCCGGGCCTCCCGCGGCGGCTGCCCTACCATCTGCGTGGGGATAGAGCGGAAGATGTTCAGCATGGCGGCGGCGGCGGAGAGCGGCGCCTCGCAGTCACAGCCCTGCTCCTCCTCGTAGTCGGAGCTCCACGGCGGCTGCCAGCTGTCCGCGTCGCCCTGTGAGGCGGAGGCGGCGGGTCGGCCCGGCGGGTACCGCTGCTGAGCGCGACGCTCACCGCGGTGAAACGACACCGGAAAGCGACCGCTGAGGTAGCCGGAAACACGCCCCCTTCGCTCCGCCCCGTCCTCCATCGGCCTGAGGTGGCGGCCCGCTGTTTCCACCATCGGCTCTACGCTGCCGGCGGCC